GCGGTTTTACAAGCGTGTTTTTTATACTTTAGGAGCCCGATACGGAAAATGAAAGCTATCCTGCCGATATCACATGAAAAGGATCATAAATTTCTGTAAAAATTTATTTCATCTGTCAATGCATTATCCACCATCATTCATTTACGACTTGAGTTTTATGTTCTACGAGCTGGTACAGCTGGCTGTCCTGCACTTGTTCGATTGCCAAATTAAATGGCCAATTTAGCGAAAATGGGCGCCCGCCTGCAAAAATGTTTTTCACTGCGGGGCCAGCTGGGGCCAAAGTGATGACTTGCCCCGCCTGAGCCCCCTCTTGCCCCGTCAAATCCCCACCATGCCCATGGTGTCTCAAGGGATGCTTCCAATTTGGTTGTTTCTGAATTACAAATTTTCGAGGTGGTAATGATTCTTCGTATTAATTCTGATGTAACCATAGGACGCCTTTGGTTCTTGTGGTGCCTCAATCAATCACAAGCACTGGTCGTACTCGTTTCATGAATTAAAATCTACAGTTCGGTATAAAAAGGGAATTACTGAGACTAAAACAAAGTAAATTATCGAAGTAAAGTTCAGTGAACCCACGTTTTCAATAAGTATTCCTCCGGCCTGTCTTATAACAAGAAGGTTAGGGTCGAACAGCAAAATTCAACACAGTAAATGAACAGTAGCAGAGGCAGTGGCCATACTTTTTGTTACTCCAGCCTGGTGGTCGTGGAAGACATCTACAAAAACCCTCAAGCTCCCATAGTTCGAAAGGAACCCAGTATGTTCGTGCTCGCATCCATTTACGTCGCGTTGCACCAACTAAACAGAAGCAAAACTCGCTGCCAGGCTTCTTCCCCTTCTCCCCCTCCTCAGGCTCCTGACAGCACTAGACTGTCGGGGAGAAGATGTGATCGCTGGGACAAAACTTTTATTCGCCTGACGTTTCGAAGTCTGTCATGCATTCTTCACCCGAGACATTAGCATTTACCGTATAAGAATTGGGTAATTCATGCACAGAGATCGGCAGTATTTATAGGATACAGTCACAATGTTAGTACACACTTATGAAAATTATCGACTCCCCGTCGAGGGTAACTGCCGAGGATAATTGCCGTGCCTCAGTTCGGACAGAGCAAACCACTTAGGGAACACACAAGCCAACGCGACCTCCAACGCCAACGCCAGGGAACTAGATGGCCGAGCAATCATCACGCGTGATGAAAGTTCACCAGGTTGCGGATCGCACGCCGGTCATTGAGCAATTAGCGCACAAGCGTGTAATTATCCTCGATAGCGTGCAGTATCATAGTGACTCTGTTATATTACTACTGCAGCTCCCTATGCATGAATTACCCGTTTCTGCTACTGTTTAGGCTAATGTCTCTGATGAGGAATCCGCGACAGGCGTCGAAACAGTAAGCAAATAAATTCTTGTCCCAGCGATCGCATCATATTTTTCTTCTAAATTACTTCTCGGGATTTGCATGTTCGCTTGTATTGACAGAAATATACATATCTGAAAGTCCCCAACCCTCTCCTTCATAGCTACTGTTCAATGGTTGTGGTAGCTTTCGTTGTCCCATTCTATCTTACTGGAATTAATGTACACACTGGCGGATGACTAACTGAAAATATAAGTTCGCTGAGCCTGATTTCTTTAACGTTTACGTGGCTGCCATTGCAGAAGAAAATTACGTTGTTCCTCTATTGTGTCTGGACGTGCGATACCAACGTTCTCAATTTGTTTCGGTTCTGGTGGTTTTCTGGTGTGGGTAAAGAAATTATACGGATATTTTCGAGTGAAATTACAAACGAGGAAAAGAGAGGAAGTGGAGTGGTATGATTTTCTTTAAACGAGACAAATCCTTTGAATGGCAGACGGCATCATTTGACTTAAACTCTCTAGCAAAGGCGATTATAATATTCTTGTTCAGTCATCAGATCTGAAATCTTCACAACTTTTCGGAATTTTGCAAACCTCAACCTAGGTACTTCTCTCTCAGGCCCACAAAGCCTCGCAGACGAGGCTGCTCCAAGGCCGTTATGGTTATTGGTGGGGACATGAGGCGAAGATAACAGATTAATGGCCCTGCTTACGTTCTTCCTCCTCAATTAATCCTCGTATCTATGGGAATGGACTCGAGAAAACCTTGCATAGTCCGAAAATTATTTCCTCATACCGAATCCTCTTCTGCAGTCTTAATTAGAAATCCTGCGGTCTGTAGTTTTTCATCCATTCATAAGGCCGAAAATAATATTTATTAAGTTCTCCGACCTTGCCACTAATGATACTAAGCTCGTCTAGAAATTTCAATTATTACATGGAATTGTTGATACAATTTTTGAAAATAAGTATTTTAGTTGAAAGATAACAGCCTTTTTGTGCTCATACTTTGCAATTGCAGATTTAATAATAAGATTCTTACAACCGAGTAGAGATCCCCTGCGGAAAATGCCGTTTTCAAGGTCTAAGGTGCTACGAGTGCATTCAACTAGGATGGAGCACAAGAGGAACATGAAGGAAGGTACTAGGTAAAGAAAAGATAGCTTACGCCAACGTGATCGCAAAGACGAATGGTATTGTAGCTGCCGACTGTGAAGAGCTGTCCATCGGGAGACCACGCAAGGGAGGTGATTGGAAAATCATTCATTTGACTAGCAAACAGGAGTCTGGCCAAGCTATCCCATATCTAAGTATCTATTTGTATATAATTTGCGAACGTACCTTGTATTTGCAGTCTTCGCCACCGGAGAGGATAAGATTGTTGACGGGGTTCCAACCTACCTTCAGAATTATCCCATCGTGAGCCTTCCACTAAGGACAAAATATTCTGTGAGTTAAAGGTGTGTTGAAGGATTATTAACCCTAGTAAAAGACGTAGTGTGAAATGATTGGACATGGAAGTATGTTGAGTTAAATATTCTCTCAAGTGAGATAAACGTTCTCCATTATTTTGTCGGTAATCAGAATACAGACTTCAAACATTCGCAAGCATTCACCAAGAAACATTTTTATGGCCAAAAAGTAACCCACTGAGCAATTTTTTTAAATACAGGTGCCGATCAAGCCTTATTTAGTGAGCAAGCACAAAGGTTTCCCAGGTTATGGAGGGAAATTATTCGTAGGACAAGAAGCTTAAAAGTACGATTTCTTTGCCATTTTGAAAATGCTTAGAAAAAGCTTTTTTAATTATCGGTGAAGTGGCTTAAATACTATAAACTTCCAATAAAGAGAAGCATGTGTTACCAGACATTTTCTGTTATTCGGGGTTACTAATAGATTGCAGAATCACGCCAGGAAATAGCAGAACGGTTTATATGACGCCTAACTTGCCATACCGAATACCGAATGCAAAATAGAAGTATTGAGAGAAGCAGTTTATTGCATAGTTTGATCTTTTCATAAACCACAAGTACTTAAACTATAACGCAGAAATTTGAATTTTTGTTGGGAGTCCGACCAGAAATTTACGAAGCGGCATGGTGAAGCACATGAAGCCCATAAACAGTCAGTGCTGTGATTAACATGGAAATCATTTATATTTAAATCAAATTATATACACCGTCTTTAACTCATGCATAGGGTCCCCTAATTATCTGCTCTCGAGTCGAAAGCTAAGTGGTTGAACTGATCTACAACTTGCAAATAAACTCAAATATTTTAATGCGACATTTGCGTTTTTAAGCAGACACTGATCTCTTGTGTGTGTATTAGTCAAAAACAGAACAAAACCGAAAACGGAGAATTGTAAAAATGTATATGGACTGACTATTAAAAAACAGAATGTTCCGCCATGCTTTTGGCATGATGGCTAAATCATTAGAGCCTAACCGACAAAAAATTTCGCATGCAGTGAAAGGCAAATTAAAACAATAACGTCGGGCACTTAAAAGAAGACAGAGAGCTTCTAAAGCTTCTCCAAAAATATAACTTACGCTGATTGGTAAGACGTTGGCTCTTATCGATTGAATAACCAAGTTTTTTCCGTTCGTATAAACTATGTTAGCTGATTTGGGTCCCCATGCCAATGAATAGATAGAAGTATCTTGAAACAGTAAGATGAGAGGAAAGCATACTTTTTTGCACAAGCGTTGACCGAAGCATTCCGTTCCTCGACCAGATTTTTAATTGACCATCCTCGCCAGCTACAAATATAGAACACTAATATGCAGACCTACATGTTGCAAAGGAGTTCCCGTCATAACTCCACTCGAAACCAAGGATTGCTCCTTTGTGAGCTTCCACGCTTTTTTCAATACGTCCAGATTTGTTGACCAAGTGGAAGAAACCTGTACTTCAATCAAGAGGCTGCAGAAACTTGAACATTA